TATGCCGACGACACGGTGATCCTTGCCAGTACCATAGACGAATTACAACAGGTAATGGAAAGAGTTTATTCAGTTAGTGAGGAATACAGCCTGAGCCTCAACTTCAAGAAGACAAAGTGGATACTGATAAGCAAAAAGCAACAACTTCCTCGACAATTACGTATAAGTAACATACTAATTGACCATGTAGAATCTTATGTGTACCTTGGCACCAACGTAAATGCAAAATGGGAACAGGCCACAGAAATTAAGGCGAGAATAGAACGAGCTAGAGCAGCATTTAGCAATATGAAAAAGCTCCTCATAAGCAAGGATTTGTCTCTTCCCCTAAAACTACGTCTAGTTAAATGCTACATTTTTCCGATCTTACTGTATGGTGTGGAGGACTGGACGCTGACAGAGACGCTCACGAGAAAACTAGAAGCATTGAAAATGTAGGTGTATCGACGCATTCTTCGTATATCCTGGACCGAACATGTCACCAACATAGAGGTACTCCAAAGAATCGAAAAGGAGAAAGAAATCGTGAATACAATTAAACAAAGAAAGCTTGAATATCTAGGCCACATATTAAGACACGATAAGTATTGTTTGCTGCAATTGATTGTCCAGGGAAAAGTAGACAGTAAGCGATTGCCAGGCAGGAGAAGACACTCGTGGCTCCAAAATCTGCGGAAGTGGTTCGGGCTCACATTGGTCGAACTATTCAGAAGCGCCGCAAACAAGATCAGAATTGCCATGTTAATAGCCAACGTTCGCAACGGACAGGGCACTTGAAGAAGATTGACCACAAAAAGCGGCTACATGCTACACATGACCGGTTTTTGCCCCAAACAGGTAGTGAGAGCTAACCCTACTTTTGTGTGGTGTTGATACGAATATTAAACTTGTTAAAGATGAGTTTTGTGAGCGTGTTTCTGGCAGCAAAAGTGATCCTTTTGGTGATAATAGTTGTTCAATAACAAATTAACCCCTTAATTTGTAATCTCACATTATTCTTAACTTCTGAATCTTTTATAGTTTCACCGTGTATTGTTTGCATTATATATATTGCAAAACTATATCTTATGATAATTTAATAATGAGTTCATTTACCTACAAGTAAATAAATTGCCGAATAATAATATTTTCTAATTGAACTTCATAAGTGTCGCAATTAAGGCGTAGATTAAATTGTATTATAAGCAAAAGTTAGGTGGTGTGATATGAACGAAGCAATGACCTAAGGTGCTTATGCATCTATTATGTGTGAGATTATAAATTGGGGGATTTGAGTTCAAATGAACACAGTCAATATTGAGTAGTTACCGAACGAACACCATATTGTGTAATTACGAGTTGCTGTCAATAAATCATCACTTTTACTCCACAACTTTAACATTTATTAACCCTATCTCATCGATCGACGAGAAGCGGACAAAGGGGCATTTACGAACCGAAACGAACTTCACTACTAAGTTCGATATTTTACATTGGTCCTTCGTCAAAACATCATCAAAAGGGCGTTAATTGGTTTGGAGCTTCGAAGGAGACGACCCTTAACGACCTAAATAGCGGTTTACCAGTTCCGTACAAGATCGACGATCGAATTCGAAGTGTAGAGAAAAGAAAAAAGAAATAAAAAAGACCAGAAAGCACCGAAATAAGGGGTAGGAGCCTTACGAGAGCCTTTGATCACCAGAGAACCTTAATAGCAGTCCTTAAGTTCGATGTTTTCCATAGTGATGATGATCCTGATTATGTATTCGAAAGTAATACTGGCCGGAATAATACAGGGGGTAAGTATTTTGGTTCTTTTTTGGATTTAGTTATTTCTCTAAGGTTGTTTAATGGTTTTTACAGAAGTAGAACCAGCTACTTCTAGTTGTTCAGGAATCACAAGCAACAGACGTGAGTTTCAAAACAAGCATATTACTGCAGAAAAAACCGAATTTCTTGAATCAGGACTAACAATAGGTAGATATTTTACACTTTTCGACTAAATGATCTTTCAAATTAAAAAAAACTAAAGCAAAATCGGTTTATCGGTTTAAGAGCTACGATGGCACAGACAGATACACACTGCACACTTACACACATTAAAATAAATTATAAGCCCACTCCGTTTTACATCGGGGGTTAATAAAAAAACAAAAACAAAAAAAACTCACGAGTACAGTTTTAGACGTATTTTTGGGCTTTACCTTGCTCCCTGTATATTTTGTTAATTTTTTTTTAGATAATACCAAAACTGATGACTCCATAAGGTAAAAAAAACGAAAGCGCTTCAATATTCCTATACTTCAATCAGAATTCAATACTCATATGCTTATGTGCTTTGTGGATTACACAAAGGCTTTCGATAAAGTCAAATGGCAGCAGCTATGGTGCATACTAGCGGAAATGGGAACATCACACCACTTAATTCAACTGATTAGAAGTCTATATGAAAATAATAAGTGCACAGTAAAAATAAACAAGACCCATTCCGATCATTTCAGAACAGAGGCAGGTGTCAGGCAGGGATGCATAATCTCGCCAACTCTGTTTAATATCTACAGCGAACACATTATGCGAAAGGTACTAGACGGATGGAAGGGCAGAATATCAGTAAGAGGTCAAAAAATCAATAACTTGAGATATGCTGATGACACTTTAATAATCGCGGCAAATCAGGAAGAAATGGAAGACATAATGAGATGTTTGGAGAAAAAAAGCAAAACATATGGACTAAAGCTAAATACGAGTAAGACAAAGATCATGATAGTAGACAGAGCTCGGAATAATTTTCAACACATTAAAGAAATTGCGGGCTTTGAACTAGTAAATAGTTTCATATACCTGGGGTCCCTAATAACAAATGACGGAGGGTGTGACAGAGAAATGCGTAGTAGGTTGACTATTGCTAGAACAGACATGATGAAACTGATAGCAATTTGGAAAAATTCTAGCATAACAATACACACAAAACTAAGGCTGGTAAGGGCGCTCATTTTTCCCATAGCCACATATGCACCCGAAACGTGGACCTTAAAGAAAGCGAATAAAAATAAACTGGACGCTTTTGAAATGTGGGTATACCGCCGCATGTTGAGAATATCCTAGATTAATCATCGCACTAACATATCGATATTAGAACAACTTAAAGTAAAGGATAGATTGCTTAAACAAATACAACAGAGATATTTGCAGTATTTTGGACACATTGCTAGAAGAACAGGCACGATGGAAAAACTTATAGTCGAGGGTAGAGTTGAAGGAAAAAGGCCTAGCGGAAGATCTCCAAGCCGTTGGGTAGATCAAACAAAAACATTGATTAACCAAGGGTTACATGAAGCCGAACAACTAGCCTAGGACAGAGAAGGATGAAGGGAAATCCTAAAAAAACTGTGAAGGCCAGATGGTGTCACCACATCCCAAAAGGGATTAGGACTGAGGAGGAGGAGTACATCACCATGAAGGGAATAGCTATTCCTCAGAAAACAGGGACCTAGATGCACATGTAAGAATCAGTGTTTCGATAACTTTAAAGAGCTGGAAAAAGAAGAAATTTTTACAAAATTTTATACAATGGGGGATAAAAATAGTCAGGATAGTTATTCAAGTGCGCTTTTGGATGTGAAAAAAGTATCTAGAAGGAGAAAGAGATCTACCATTACAAAACCAAAAAAATTTCATATACGTATCATATGAAAGTAGGAACAAAAACTTTTTAGTTTGTTGCACTGCATTTTGTAATATGCACGCTATTACTAAGCGACCAAGTAAAAACCCTTTATATATTTTCTGACAACTTCACCGGGCAAAACAAAAATGCTGTAATGGTTCATTTATTAACAGTTTTCGTTAATAATAAACGATTTTTAAAAATAGTGCATCATTTTCCAGAGCTAGGTCATAGTTTTCTACCATGTGATCGTGACTTTGGTACTATAGAAAAAAAAAAGCGCATAAAAGAAATATATTTGCCCGAAGAGTGGTACTCTATGGTAGAAAGCTGCGTTAAAAAGTTTGTTATAGCTCGTGTTACACAAGAAATGATTTTTGATGTTAACTCATTTTTGGAGGCACACTTTAAAAAAACTTCAGTTGTCAAGAAACAACCATTTACAATATCTAAGTACCGAATATTTATTTATGATTCTACAATTCCAGAAAATGTGTGCGTTACAGAATTTCACAATCCTACTTGTGTAACCTGTTACCCTTTATTTAAAAACCCAGCTACATTCATAGACCTAAATACGATTCCATTGGCATATAAAGAAAAACTCCCACCTAAATACAATACAACAGAATTATACCAATAGTAAAAAAATATATACCTCCTGCTTATCTTCCTTTTTTCGACGCTATTACACGAGAACAAAATGATGCCGATAGTGATTATGACTAAAATACACTATAATTATCCGCCATTTTGTATTTCATGTAAAAATTTACAAAAAAAGTAAAACATTACAAAAATCGTTATTTTTGTAATGTTTTACTTTAAAATATACTACTATTTTTTGTATTTACTTGATATTTTATATTTTTCCTTATGTATTTCCTTAAATTTTCAGTTTTTTCTAGATTTTGGGAGCAAAAACCGTCCACGTGAAAATAAAAAAAAGTTTTTGACTTTATTTTCAAAAACTCAAATTGAAAAAGTACCACATATAAAATTTATGTGCAATATAAAATTCATGTGTAATTTATATATGCCTTTGATTTATGTTTTCCACAAAAAAATATAAAATTATTAAATTTGATAAAACTTCGTGGCTTAAACGTTTTTTTCATTTTTCTCAAAACTATAAGAACTGCACGTAACCAGTTTTTGCACCAGGGGCTTCAATTGCATACTGTGTTGTATAAAACGGTAATCTAAGAAAACGGGGTAAAAAGGGTATCAATATTTGAAATTACATATAAATAAATGTGAAAATAAGAATATTAATGTTAAGGTTTGTGGTGAGGGCTAGATATTAAAATGATGGTAGACAAAACAATAATTTGAATTACTGGTTGTCTACATTTTGAACATGTTTTAAAAATATATACGAGGACCGTTATAAAAGTCTGAATAAAAAAATACCAAAATAAAAAATTCTTATAAATCTGATTTTGCACCATCTGATTATTACTTCTTTATCATCAACCTTTTCGCTACACCCTGTCTTTGTAACGAAATATTGCATAAAATCGGATAATAAAAGGTTTCACCAAAAATGTGCAGAATTCGTGGCGCACACTGCGGAAAATAAAGACACCTAAACTTGCACGTTCTGCATAACTTTCTCCTGCAGGAACATCCTCATTTCGGTTTCCACTATCAGTTTATTCCTTAACTCCTCGATGGTTTGGTTTTGCCTCCTAACCGCTTCTTCGAGCGCTTCCAATCGCTCTAAGATGTCGGTGGTGCTGACGTTCTTGGAACCGGCGTTCGGCGACGGAACGGGTTTCATCGGAGACACTTTGGGAGGGATAGGTTCTTTCGGAATGACTATAGGTTGACTAGGTGTTGGGGGAATGTCCTTTGTTATGTGTGTAGTGGTTGGTCTCGGAGGAGGTGGTCCTTTTTCCGGTTTTTCTGACTCTGTCGGCGTTTTCAGCTTCGGATGTAGGGGAGACATTGATTTTGGTGAATCCAACTGGAAAAAAGCAAATATTAGAAATCTAACCTAATGTTTGAAAGCTGCATCCTCAGAATACTGCAGTAGTAGATAAAGAGTTATGAGTATCGATATTTATTGTGCAGGGTAAAATACATATTATGTATTGTGCAGGGTAAAGAGCTTATTTGACTGTGTATGATAGTTTACACTTAAAGTAGAACTTGTTATTTTTGTTTTAAAAATTATTAGTTCATTTTTACTAAACTTTATTAAGAGTGATAGTTTTAGAATAATTTTTTTAGTGCAGTGACACTATAAGTCACTATTTGATTTGTGTTGACAATCATATTAGTTTAGATTAAGACTGGTTGAGTCAAATCGCATAAAAAAATCATTAGTATCTTTGAGATGTTAGTTATTAATTGTTTCTTGTTATTTTTCTTAGGTTTAGCGAATTAACCGTAATATGCAAATATTGTTTTAATTTCAGCCGTAAAATCTCGCTCGCCAATTTAAAAGGAAAAGACAGAAAATTTTATAACTAAACACAGCAATTTTTGAGTACATTATCACTATTCTTTATAAAATGTTCAGTAGTATTAAAAAAAAAACAAAAATATTGTTAGTAAAAATCCACTAGGAATCTAAGTTCCTGTAGCTGGCTGTATACCATATATCACAAAAAATTTATTTCAAATCCTTTATAAAAGGTATATAATAAAATGCTCAAACGGGCTATCACAATTATATTACAAAACGTTGTCGGATTGTTAAATCCATCATCAGTGTAAACCTGAAAGTAACTAACCACTTTAATTAAAAAGAACGTTGAATTTAATACGAGGTATACGAGGTATACATGCTATAAGCCACCAAAATATATGGGTCAAAACCCTTTAAATGATATAAATTTACAGTTGTTTTACATTATATATGGTTACAAATTATGATGTTTAAGTTAGCGTTGGAATTGGTAACATGGCGACGTATGACCCTACATAGTTAAAATGGTCCTGAGACGAAGTGTCTTCGAGGACCTGTTGATAACAACTGATCAAAATGACATTGTTGACATGTTAGAACGGATGTTGTGTCAGAGCAGTCAGTGTAACTTACGGTAGTTGTCTAAAAATGACAGATGTCAGCATTATTTAAAATTGAAAAAATTAAAATTATAATAATGTAACAGTATCAACCATCAATGTTGTAGTCTGTAATGTGAATTAATCATATAGCTATATTGGAAACGTTGAAAAAATTGGTTTTTTAAAAATTAATGTGGGTAAACTGGAGTTTACCCACATTAATGGAACTAAGAGTTTTATAGAAATATGTTGTAAAATGAGAAAAGCAGACAGGTTTACAACCAAGCAGAAATCCTTAGCGAATTGTGCTTCTAGTACTCACACAGAGTAAATCCGAATAAAATGAGAAAAGGCAGCAAATATTTGATTTCACGCAAACAAATCCTATGTATCTCTTGATACGTATTTCGACCTAATAGGTCTCGTCAGAAGAGCTATTCATAGGGGTTCTCAACGTGAAAAATCAATATTTTCTGCCTTTTAAGAAGCAACAATAACATGGCTTCAATACGGACGCAATAGCGACATCTAATTAGAAAATCGTAAAAAAGTTTCGAAACACAATTCAGATTTCTGCTTTATAATCTGAGCCTTCTAAAAATTGCAAGGCAAACAGACGTTGATAAAAGATGTTAAAAGAGACATGGGGAATCTAAAATTTGCATTCCACGACATGTCTTTTACAACCAAGCAGAAATCCTTAGCGAATTGTGCTTCTAGTACTCACACAGAGTAAATCCGAATAAAATGAGAAAAGGCAGCAAATATTTGATTTCACGCAAACAAATCCTATGTATCTCTTGATACGTATTTCGACCTAATAGGTCTCGTCAGAAGAGCTATTCATAGGGGTTCTCAACGTGAAAAATCAATATTTTCTGCCTTTTAAGAAGCAACAATAACATGGCTTCAATACGGACGCAATAGCGACATCTAATTAGCAAATCGTAAAATAGTTTCGAAACACAATTCAGATTTCTGCTTTATAATCTGAGCCTTCTAAAAATTGCAAGGCAAACAGACGTTGATAAAAGATGTTAAAATTCCCCATGTCTCTTTTAAAAAGTTTTAGAAAAAGTTTAGTTTTAGAAAAAAATACTCAACAACTAAATCTCTATTAGAAGTAATAGAACGTATTGTTCACGGTCTCGATGCAGGTGAACCTACTAATGGATTAATGTATGACCTTACAAAAGCTTTTGATTGTGTGGATATTTGAAAGATTTCACATTTCGCATAGCACAAAGGATACAGAAAACGATATTATCATATCGTTTCGTTCACGGTCACCAAAGCAGGGGGCGCCTTTGTAAGCTAACTACGCTGTAGTGAAGTTCTGGGAGACATTCGTTTTACTTTCCGAGTTTGAATTTGTATCAGCCCAAGTGTCTGACGATTCAGCACGGGAAGTTTAACGAACTTGTCTCCTAGGCCATATAATATATATATATATATATTATATATATATATATATATATATATATATATATATTTGAAAGTTTGTTAACTGTTCTTAATATAATATACAAGATGTAAAAACACTGATCACTGATCTGTCACCGACCACTGATGCTGATGTTGAACATCAGTACAATACAAGAAACAAGTCATATCATTATACCATACTCCAGATTGTGTGTTACACAACTTAATACAATAGATTATAATCTGTATAATTGTTTTTTAAACCTGAAGAAAAATATTGATATTAAGGCAATTCTAAACAATTTTATAAATTAGCAAAACACTTCTTGCTGGAACACTGTTTCTATAGTATACAGGAATTTGTTTGTTTGAGCTCCTAGTGTGGTCATTTTTATGAAAAATATTTTACAACTCACTGTATATGTTATATTATGTGTGGTATTATTTCTTAGTTATTTCGTATGTATACATAAGTGACTTATTTATATTGTGGCATGACATGTAGTGTTTACTATGTAAAAATTGTCAATAAACGTATCTATCTATTATTTTAATGTTCTTGAAGTAGTAGCGAAGTAATATTACCAAAGCCATAATTTAAAAAATATCTCTTACCTCTTTTTCTTTTTCAGGTGGTGTTTTCGACGGCTTACTTTCTTCTTCCACTACCTGTCCCTCCATCGACGTCGTCATAGTTCTTTTGACTTGGTTCTGCTTCATCTCCTCCAGCCAGGGCGCTTTATGTTTTTCCCACTCGCGCAGACGAGGTTTGACTTCATTATCTATCGTCTGCGATTCGTGGTGGTTCGATTCGACAACGGTTCCGTTGGACATCGTCGTAGGATCATCTTTGTGCATTATAGTAGTGGGTGGACGACGACCTGATGGTAATAATTTGTTTTTATGTGGATTGATAAAAGTAGCGATAAAGAGGACAAAGATGTCAAAACTCAAATAAAAATAACTCAAAATAAAGCCGGTAAACTCTGGGATCCTCTAACTCCTCAGTATCTAGAAAATAACTCATTTTGATATGAGTCTGTAAATAGATTTTAATAAGCAACTGTACAAACTTGTAAATAAAAGTGGAATTACATAAAACGAACCGCACGTTTGGATTTAACCTTACAATGGTGTCACGGGCGAGAGTATTGCTTTAAATGTTTTATTCCTTTAAAAGTTGTGACAGAAATATGATTGGAGAAGATATCGGATTGTACCAGAGGCTATAACACATTTACGGATAACGTGGATGAAAAATATAAACAAAAGCAATGAAAACACGACAAAATAGTGCAAAATCACACTAATTCGCCAATTAGCCAGAGGATCGTCCGGCTAATTCTACGAAATTCCCAACAAGACATTTGCTTGGTTGTTGGAGAAATTATAAGTTTTCATTTCAGTATAGTCTGTAATAAACACAAAATAACAGGAAATGGAAAATATGGGTTAATATAAACATGGACATGCTCCTAAACTGTAATATTACTAAAAGAATATAGTAAAGGATAAAATTATACTCAACTTACCGGGAGCTTTGACTCTGCCAGCACGAACATCGGCCAATAACGGTCTCCTTTCGACTTGGTCAAAAGCATTATCCGTATTTTCTACCACTACCTCCTTCTCCTTGTGCACCATTCGACTACTCGCCGTTCCGTCTACGACGTCTACAATTTTTTTCTTAATTTCTGAAATGAACCCGACACCGGAGCCCGAAGGTGACTTCTTGATCGAAACTACGGGTTTTTTGCTCGGAACGGGAGGTGTTTTGTTAGGAACGCTATCACTGTCGCTTTTATCGATTTTTTCCGATTTGGGTTCTAAGGATTTTCGTTGCGAAGCTACTGATTTTATGGCACCTAGAAAATCGTACACGTCAAGAAAAAAATTGTTTATTTATCGTTCATATAAATTTTTTTAGACACTTTACAGCGACCATGTACAATTGTGATAGTGCAAATTGTCCGTTGTAGTTAATGCGTGACATTATTTTCAGCTAGGCAAAGATTCGGCTCGAAGGACCAATGTATATTCATGCTATTTATTCCTCTGTTGTATGGGTTTTTAATAGTAGAACGCCGCATTAAGCGTCCTTTTTAAACGAAACAAATGATTACCGCTTAATTTGGCAGATATATAATTAGAAAGCTTTAAGTTTTACCAACGTCTAGTCACTTCTAGATAGAAACACGGGGAAGAACATTGGAAAAATCAACTAAAATCTTCATGATACCTGCATCTGCCATTTAGGGCCGGTTCTACAATCCAGGTATAAATTGGAGAATAGTTATTCTGAGTATAACTTATACTTGAGTTTATTCCAAGTATAACCTTTCGAGCGTTCTACATTGTGAAATCGACAGCGGAATAGTTATTCTGGGTATAACCACAGAACACTAAGGTAAAACGAAATAGTAGATCTGATATCTTCAAAATTAGTTCAAATTGTTATTGACAGCGACATTTGGCATTTGTGATAACTGTAAAATTTGTTTACAATTGAAAGGAATTGAATCATTGATTCGCTTTATCTGGTATTTTATCTACGTTTATATTATTATACTTTACAAAATAAATATAAAATGGATTAAAAAAGATGTAAAAATTTTACAAATACAGAAATTGAAATGTTGAAGAACAAAAAGAAATAATAGGTATGTAAAAAAATATGTATCTATGGGTTAAGTATTTATTTTAATTTTGTTTTAGAATGTAAGAAAACTGACACAACAACAAGTGCCATGAAAGATGAGGAGTGGTTAAAATTATCCATAAAATTTAATTCTAATTGTGGTGCAGGAAAGACAGCTAAAATGCTTCGAAGCAAGTGTGAGTCTTTGAAGAAAACCACAAAGACAATATGCCAGTTTGAAGTTCAAATTTTGAAACAAGAGTTGAGAAAATAAGTGTAAAATATTTAAATAATTTATGCATTTTTAATTTATGTATATTATTTATGCATTTAATTTATGTATATTATTTATGCATCTTTATATAATTTATACACAATTCATCATCCCATCCAACACAACATAAACTGGCAGCTTATCATAGTATGTTACATAGATTAACAGAAATTCCGATGTCAAAATACAACTTTGAGACAGAATTAAATATAATTAAGCAAATAGCAGTAAACAACGGATACAACGAACAAACAATTAGTAAAATGTTAAATCAAAAACTACACAAGAAAGCCCTGAAATTAGTATTTCCACCACCAGAGAAAAAACCCAGTACCTTCTGCTCGATTACATATACAGGCAAAATAACAACAAAAATAGCCAAACACATAAAAAGAAAGGAATAACACCAGCTTTCCGAACAAATAACAACCTAGGCAAATATATTAAAAATAACAGGAGCCAAAATAAAAAACACTTAAATAGTGGTGTGTACAAACTTCAATGTGGCGACTGCCCAAAAACTTACATCGGTCAAACTGGTAGAAACTTTAATAAACGAATAGCAGAACATAAAAGGGCTTTCAATAATAGAAAAACAGATTCGACATACGTACTTCACCTTCTAGATCATAATCATTCTTTCAACGACAAATTTAAAATTCTTCACATTCAAAATAAAGGCCTTAAGCTATCTTTGTTAGAATCTATGGAAATCAATAAATTAAAAAACACAGATATAATTCTGAATGACCAACTTGAGACAAACAGTTCTCCCCTCCTCAACCTATTTCATTAGAGACTATAAATTGTAAACGCATGCCAAAAATATGTCACTTGAGAAAGGCAATCAGCCGAAACAGCTGTAGTGATAATAGTTTAAATAAATTTTGTGGAAGTTTGAAAACAAAGTTTTCAGTGTTTTATTGTTACATGTAAAATATTTACTTAGTACTTAGTTAATACAGGACATACTCCAACCTTGTATGGAGGACCCTATGGGGAATAACAAATGACCATTAAAAAGTTACGCTCTCGTTGTTTAATAACATACACTGCGAGTTGACAATTTTGACTGAGTTCTATTCATCATAGCTTTTGAATTGTAAATTTGATGTGTCTCATATTTTGGTCAAACATGTCACTAAACATCACATTTAAACTAGAAATAAAGTCAGGTCCGGAAAAAAATAGTTTGTTCTGTTCATGAAAGAATCTCAACATATGGTTTTAAAAACTTTAACAACAATTTTACAAATTAGACAAACTGAAATATCAAGTTTTTATAAAATAACAACTCCCCTTGCACTTTTTACTGGTTACTTGTTATTGCCCATAGGGGTTTCCCTACGAGGTAGGAGTATGTATAGTTTCTCATGACTCACATTATATTATATTAGATTTGTTCCAGCAAACATTTTCAGACAAGACAAGATTACTGCAATAAATACACAAACTGCTGTGCTAAAGGAGATAGTAGATAAGTTGCCTGGAAGCGGTTCTAGCATTGAATCAATAAAATAGTGATTTATAACATTTTATTGTATCTCAAATATATTGCAACTGTTTCTGTACTTAAGTCATTTCCTAACCCATGGTTTCTCAATTTTTATTTCAGTGCTGTAGTGAAAATCAAAAACCTTTTATGAACTCCTTGGTTTTACCCTCTTTATATGACTTTATTTACACTCTTACATTCAACACTCTGATTTTGACAGGCTTTTTGTAATACTATTTTGACAACCATGTACGTCATTGTATATTTTACTACTTATTTATAAGCCAAAGGAGTAAAATTTTTGGAATATTGTATATAAAATCATTTCTCTTAGTATGATTTCCTTCTTAAATTTTTTATTATCATCAACTGAGATTAGTGTTGTAATATAATAACCAACATTATGTAAATATATCTATATAGGTACATTTTAAACAAGTATAAATATTGGATTACAAAATATATAATTTTAGTTAAAGAAATGTTTATATAATACAGATTCGAGAATTACAGTCTCTATTATCAAAACATTAAAAAATATATTGCCTTGGTAAGATTATACCTATACCATATTAGTCATATGTGTAGACCTTTACATCCTAAAATTTTAGAATTGAAATAATAAATGCTTTCTTTTTCCTTTGGATTGCCTAATAAAATTTCCTTTGGATTTACAATCTAAAATGTTTGTGCAATATCAAAAATTTTATTTTATATATAAAAACAAACAAAACCACAGTTCATTGAATGGCATACAGTGAGGTTAAAATATTACAAATTTGACAACCCCTGACTGACCAATAGAAATGCAGTATAAATTTATACTCGGTATATCTGCTAAACTTTGGAGGGATAAGTTATTTTACAGATATACTCCGATTTAGATTATCTTATTCCTAGTTTATTCTTTGTTTGTAGAACACCATTAACGAAGTTAATCCAAGTATAACTTTATTCTCAGTATATACTAGCATTGTAGAACCGGCCATTAAGTGACGAGTTTATTCCATGTCAGCCAAATTGAGTAATCCAGCATCCCTTGTGCGCGTTTTCCTTGATTTTTTCTGTCAGTTTTTGTGATTTTTTTTATTGTAGAGTAAACCATCATCTATTGTCTGTTTTTCCTTGTTTTTATATACATTTTGACATGTACTTTACGTGAATTATCTCGAAGATTATTCAATAGATATATAAAGACTAGTTACTGTTACGAGAGTCTAGTCTTCAGCCGTATTTTTAAGAACCTATATGAACAATTGCACAAGTAGTAAATAAATAAATCTATTTAAATAAGTAAATCTAAATAAATCAAAACCTAATTTTAATTTATGTTGAAATATATAAATTATCGTACTCACCTGTATCGGGGAATGCTTTCGAATGAGTTTTCTTCTCTTCCTTACTGCTACTTTTATTATCACTAGAAATAAGTACCACAAAATTGTCCGGGAAAAAGCCAGTTTTTCCGTTCAATTCGCCCTGCCACCAGCCGGGATCTTGGCTATCTTTGCTAATTAAAGTTATTATATCACCTTCTTTGAACGATATTTCATCCTCGTTTTGAGCCTTATATGGGTATGTTGCTTCGCATAATTGTTTCGCTGAAAATGAAACATTTTATTTGAAAGAAATCTCTCTTTTGAGAAGCTTCAGAAAAACAACAAGTCTCTTGTTTTTCTGAAGCCGAACCCGATATTTAATAGAAATATTTGCGTGTATTCTACATAGAGCGTTCCATTAAAAACGAAACAGAAAACCCACCACCAACAGAAACCACTGGTAAACAAAGGTATTGTCTTCTTATACTCCAATAAGAGTATTTGCTCCATCCAAAGCAGATTCTAGATATCCAGACTTTAAACTCAGCAGACACAGGAAGTGAACACAAACTAGTACTAGCAACAAAAAAAAAAACAGAATGAAAATAACACCAAAACAATTTCTACAGGAAATCAGTGAGGAAAAATTCAATGTAGAATCACTGTGGAACGATTCTACAAGAGAAATGTACCAAAGGAGGCTAGCACAGAAGATACAGCTGAAACAAATAGACGACATTGAAGATGTAAACGCGAGCTGGGAAAAAATTAAAAACAACATTGAGGAAGCAGCAACAGAAGCTCTAGGAAAACGCAAAGTCATACTGAACAAAAGAAACAACAACAATACACCATGGTTCAGAAGAGAAATAAAAGAGAAACGAGAGGCCTACACGAAGTACAAAACATCAATACTCCAGAATCCCGAGACATCTATAGAAGAATACGAAATCACACAAAGCAGTTGGTAAAAAGAACAAAAAATGAACACTGGGAACAGTTTACAAAAAGGATGAAAAGCAACTTCTACATTACACAAAAACAAATATGGGAGATTCATAGCAAACCAACGGAAATAAATGGCAGAATTGAAGGAATACAATAACATACCAGCAAATGAATTGGAAAGATACATAATCAAATACAGGCAAAGATAGGTAGTAGGATCTGGTTACCAATATTGAAAGAGGAACTTATTAATAAAAAAATACCAGTATTAGTAAGTCAGTAACATATAGAGGATACATCATTTATGTTTTTTAAATAACGTAACATATAAAATCCGAATTTTGATGTTTGTTGAAGGTAAACTAAATTCACGAACAAATACTTACAATGTCGGGATAGTATTATGAGGTTTTTTTCCTGGTTTTTCCCTCATAATTTACTATGGAATCACTAACAGCAGAATTTTACTGTCATCATGTCATGTGTTTGTCTTTTTAAAGACGAATTACATGCTATGATTTTTTTCTGACGGATATTCTCAAGTTAAAGTTGATTCATGTAATCGAATGAACTATCTTATAAGTAAAGTCGTCCCAGGAGCGCAACTCAACAATATTGGCAATATCATTTTAAAGTCGTCTACTTTAAAATGCATAATGTATGTCTGAATTGTCAATATAAATGAGTCAGATAAAATTAAATTATTAGAAGAATTTTTCACTATGTAACAAAAAACAAAATTTGTTTAATTTACTGTTTGTATTTTGAGAACGATTTCCGAAGTGGAAATTGAAACGTCAATAAACGTATTTTTATCTTTAATTGTGGCTTATTCCCAGTTAAATAGTAATTAATTTACAATGCCACAAGAAAATAGCTTCAGAACAATATCAAGAAAAAGATGGTGCGACAATTTATTAGCCACCATTGAAGAAGAAACGGGCTTTAAAGCCTACATAAAAAAAGAAAGAAGAAGTAGATCTCTATTAAATTTCGAGAAAGGCAGAGGTAATGGTCATAAAATTGTCAGGTTTCGTTATACCTATATGAACTTTTATTTGAATTTGAAAATCAATGAAAAATGTTGTATGGATGTGAAACTTGGGTTTTTAATGCCGATATCATGACCAAAAGCGAGGCGTTTGAGATGTGGTTGTCCTGAAGAATACTCAAAACACTGGACTACCAGAACCAGAAACGACAAAGTTCTTCGAAGAATAGGACATGAACGAACTTTATTAAATATCATTAAAAGACGAAAACTAGAATATTTTGGGCATATAATGACATAGTCCAGGAACCAAGTGTTCCAGAAATGAACATATTGTTTTAAAATATAAAATAAAAATGTAATTCTTTGACTTTTCTTAGTGTAGAATAACTAGAACAGTCACCTTATCAAATTTGAACACGACACCCGATTGAGTGGCGTCTGACGTCTGAGACTGTTAAATGTTTTTCAGACCTAAA